GCCCAAGCAGTGCTGGGCCGGGGCCCGCCAAGCATTGGAGCCCCACAGGCCAGCGTGCAGATATGTGCAGCTCCACACAGCCCCTCTCTCCCTGGCACACACTGAGCCAATCACACCTTCCCTCCCCTGCCTCCTGGTGCCCGTGTCCTGGGACTGACAGGGCGGCAGCTTGGCCATGGGAACTCGGGCCAGTCACTTCCCATCTCTCCGACTGTTCTGATCCCAGCTCCCCGGGGCAGATCCGGAGTCACTCCTGACTGCAGCGGGGGCAGGGCTGGGGTCGATCCGGAGTCACTCCTGACTGTAGCTCCCTTGCAGTTTTTGTGCAGTGAAACCAGCTCCCCCTGCCCACCCAGTCCCTAGGTCCTGCAGGGCCTGTGGTCAGTTTCATGCCTCTGGTTTCTGTGCTAGGTGCCAGCCCCTGTACTGCAGGGCTAGGGGTACAGCATGATCCTGCCCTGCCCTGTCCCAACGCCTGCCCCCTTCGGCTGACCACGTCTAACACCCTGAGATCACTAGCAGGCAGTTTTTGTGCAGTGAAACCAGCTCCCCCTGCCCACCCAGTCCCTAGGTCCTGCAGGGCCTGTGGTCAGTTTCATGCCTCTGGTTTCTGTGCTAGGTGCCAGCCCCTGTACTGCAGGGCTAGGGGTACAGCATGATCCTGCCCTGCCCTGTCCCAACGCCTGCCCCCTTCGGCTGACCACGTCTAACACCCTGAGATCACTAGCAGGTCTAGGAGGGGAGTGGGGGCTAGTGGTTAGAGTAGGGGGCTGGGAGCCCTCCCTGGCACTGCGACGGGAGCGGGGTCTAGTGGTTAGAGTAGGGTGGCTGGGTTCCATTACATTAATGCAATGAGGGTGTGCCAGGGCTGAGGAGGCCGGAAGCCCGAGTCCTGTGGTTGGGTATTTTTAAGCACGCAAAAGCTGGAGACAGAAGGAGGAAGGATACATAGAACTGGGGGAGGGGTGACCCATAACTAGGAGCCCGACAGAGCAGCCACAGGGCAGCCAGACAGCTTGTGGTCCCAACCTCACCCACTTCCACTACTAGGTCCCTCTGTGCTGGCCCAGTAGCACCACTCATCTGGGGGAAACTGAGGCAGGGAGCAGGGTAAGCGATGTGAGCAAGGCCATGCATGGGGCGAGTCCAGGAGCAGTTGCTCCCTGCCCCAGCTCCACACACTCCGGCTGCAACCTGGCTCCCCAGCCCTCTGCTCTTACCACCGGCCTCCCCTCCCAGAGCCAGGAAGAGAAACCCGGTGCCCTGTGCTTGCCCATCTCCCTCCAAGTCTTCCCTTGGAAAGCCCAGAGTGGGAGTGGGACAGGCAGCGTGGACCAGACACCAGATGCCAGCTGGGGCCCCCGATCCTGCCCCCATTCCCCAGCATCTCATGCTTGTCCATGGACCACTCTCCCCTGCCGTGCTGGGGGCTGGTGATTGACAGGACTCTGGGCAGGTGGCAGGGGGGAGGCAGGGGAGGAGCAGACTGGGCCAGGCCTGTGGGGCAGGGGTGGA